ATTAAGTAATTGGCCAATAGTTTTACGTTTTGAGAAGAAAATAGGAAGGAAGAGCAGTTACATTATCGACACGACGTAGTTGTGGACAACCGATTGCTACTAGTTAGTTCGCACGGCGCTCGTTGGCGCTACGAGCAACCGTCCCGCTTGCCCCTCGATCCCCGCGCGTTTTCCGCGATTCAGTGACGCGTTGTGTACAATAGACGAGTAATATAAATATTGATTGACTGGCCCAGTGGTCTCGCGGCCTGAGTGCAGGGGCTGCGAATCTGGAGGTCCCGAGTTCGAATCCGCTCACCACCTAAGGATTTTTTCCGGGCCGATCCCTTTCAACCGAGTTTATCGGTTGATTGGCGAACTGAATCGGGCCTCCAATAATTAATTCGGGTGTAATCCCGAATAACTGCTAGTGATTATCATAATCAAATGTGCTCTTAATATTATTTTAATCACAAATATTAGAATAAAGAATACTAATATATTTATATAATTAAAGAATAATATATTTTTAAAATGCATTAGTACTGAATTTTTTTTAGATGCTGCGCGCTGTTTTTGAAGATATGATATATAAGCTGAAATAGGTTCCCGATTCTTAGAGATATGTCGTTTGGCTGAAACTACTGTTGCGATTCCAGTTGACGATTATTTCTTAATTTTCTTTAAGCTTACTATACTGATTCGAGAAATGTGATTATTACAGAAGTTTGAAGGAATGGAATTCTCATTGTCATCAACTTCTCTGTATTTTTTGGTGTTACTTGTTCTTCGTCTCGTGAAATTTTTTGTCTCTTTTTTTTGGCACGTCTGCAAGATTCACAATCACACTAATTGGAAGTCGATTCAGAGTTTCTGTCGATGATGACAGGCCACTCTTTTCTTTTATCTTGCCTTCTTTTTTCTTTTTTTTGACAGGTATCTCNTTTTTATCTTGATCTTCATTAGTTTCAATATCTTGTAATTTTCTTTTTTTTATCTTCTTCAATTCTTCATTAGCTGTAATGCAATTTGTAGTATGTATATCTTTTAAAGCTTTATCTTGTGCTTCAAAACTAGATTTTGATCTATTACTGTGTAACATAATATTATGTAATTGTAGTTTGCCAGATTTTACTTTTTTATCAGATTTTAATTTTGAAATTTCAGGTTTCGATTCCGCAGTCCTTTCTACTTCTTTCTTTTTTTCTGACAATGTGTCTAGACAATATTCTTTATTTTCTTTTAATCTTTTTTTTTAAAGAAATTTAAATAAATAAAAAATATAATTTAAATAAATTTAAATAAATAAAAAAATTTACTTTCTTGTATAGCATTATTAGCAGAATTGGCATTTAATATTTGTTTCTTACCATTAGTATAATTTAATTTTTCCAAAATAATAAAAAAACGTGTAACATTTCAAGATATAGAAACAAACAATCAAACTACGAAAAAGAATTTGAAGAAAAACATTAAATTAGATAAAATAGATAAATTAATACAAAATACTTTATCTAACAAGAAGAAATCAATGAAGATCTCTGAAAGAGATATTAATTTGGAAAAATTAAATTATACGAATGGTAAGAAACAAATATTAAATGCCAATTCTGCTAATAATGCTATACAAGAAAGTAGTCAACAAAAAAACAAAAATTTTTGATTTACAATTAACATCAAAATTTTTTGTCACATTTTTGATATATTGAAAAGTCTCCGAAATACATTTTATTATTTTCTTTAATTCTGTAGAGCCGTTTTTCTATCCGAGCAATAATTACGAAAAACACCTCTTAATACGAATTATTTCGATCGGTAATAACAGGACGGTCCAGGCCCCTCTTAACGTTGACAAGTAACATGTATATAAATATATGTGTGTAAGTGTGTATTAAATGAAACTATAATGTCTTTGGTATATGGGAGAAACGTATATTGTAAAAGTCTCGTTTAAAAAATTATATAATATTATATGTAGTCACTAAATAAATATA